TCTTCAGCAGCCCTTTTGGATTTCTGCCGTTTTTGCTAACGGATTTTTTTTTTGCACATCTGTTTATAAAAATAGACTATAAGTTTTTGTTTAGTTGACTGTTTTCAGTTTCTTCATTAAAGGAACACTTAAATATATATAAATGAGTCGCATTATTGTGTAAGAGCTATCGGAGACATCGATCAATATGGAATTGTTTGTCATACTGGGACACGGGCCTGGGCAAATCTTTCAAAAATAGAGGCATGTCATTTTTTTTTTATTTTTTTATTTTATTTTTAATGTATTTTTTATTTATTTTTCATTTTTTTTATTTATTTTTATTTTTTTATTTATTTTAATGTGTTTTTTTTAATTAATGTATTTTTTTATTTTTAATGTATTTTTTATTTATTTTTAATGTATTTTTTTTTTTTATTTTTTATTTTATTTTTTTTTAATTTTATTTTTTTTTTTTATTTAATTTATTTTAATGTTTTATTTATTTTAGTGTTTTTTTAATTTTTAATGGTTTTTTTAATTTATTATTTGTTTAATTGTATTTTTATGTTTTTAATTTATTTTGTTTTTAATATTATTTTTTTATTTATTTTTAATTTTTATTTTTTATTTTGTTTTTAACGTATTTTTTTTAATTTATTAATGTGTGGTGTTTTTTTTTTTTTTTTTTTTTTTTTGTTTTTTTTTTTTTAATTTATTTTTAATATTTGGGGGTTTATTTGGGACAGAGCATCCCACTGTGTGGTGGAGGAGGGAAGGGTTAGAACCCCCCTGCCGGGGTTTTTATTGCCGTATGAAAAGTCTATAAAGTGTCAGATCTGAGATCTTTAAAAGTCACAAAATCTTTTAAACTTCGGTGTTCATAACGTAAAATAACCGACGCGTTTCGGGAACTCAGAAACTATTCCCCACTTCTCCAGGGCTTTTATATTACAAGTGACAGAGAGGACTAAAAATTGCACAATCACCAGGAATATTCATTTTATAGTGTAATTATTTAAAAAAAAAAAAATTCTAGAGACTTGCAATAAACAGGCCCGGATGAAGAGAGGGTGTTTTGAGCTCCTGAAACGCGTTGGTCGTTTTATGTTCTCTGAACAAACAATTTTTGGGCTCCTAGATTTTTAGTCTGGTGCTCTCTTTTCACTGGTGGAACCCAAACTTCGGGGTCCCCTAATTAAGGGGTACCCTGTTTTTTGTTGAGGGTTGCCACACTGAAGCTACTGAGCCCCGTATGACTCCAGCTGCCTTCCTTCAACCATGAAGTACCGATACGTTCAATCCAGAACCTCCAATATACATGTTTCAGGTTTTTTATTGCTGTGTGTGTGTGTGCCCCCCCTCTGGGAAGATTCACCGAGGGGGGGGCAAATCCAAAATGTTACAGTTGTCACCGGAGCACAAATAGAGGGAAAATTCGGTTTCCTCTCATCTCCTTTATGCATTCTATCATGGGGACTCCCCACCTCAACACAAATAGCAGGAAGAAAAATACAACCCATTCTTACTCTATATATCAGATCTAGCAAACATTAACAAATTTTATTTATCTTTAAATTAAATATTGAATTGAAATATATTTTTTTCATATTTATATTAAAAGGATATAAATATTCTCACTCTAGATCAAGATCTAACAAAGGTAAACTCATTTTTAAATATTTTTTAATTAAATAATACAATTACTATAGTATAAAAAAAATATATATATATATATATATATATATATATATATATATATACACACATACAGTGGGGATGGAAAGTTTGGGCACCCCAGCTAAAAATTTGTATTAATGTGCATAAAGAAGCCAAGGAAAGATGGAAAAATCTCCAAAAGGCATCAAATTACAGATTAGACATTCTTATAATATGCCAACAAAAGTTAGATTTTAATTTCCATCATTTACACTTTCAAAATAACAGAAAACAAAAAAATGGCGTCTGCAAAAAGTTTGGGCCCCCTGCAGAATTTATAGCATGCACTGCCCCCTTTGCCAAGCTGAGACCTGCCAGTGTCATGGATTGTTCTCAATCATCGTCTGGGAAGACCAGGTGATGTCAATCTCAAAGGTTTTAAATGCCCAGACTCATCTGACCTTGCCCCCAACAATCAGCACCATGGGTTTCTTCTAAGCAGTTGTCTAGAAAACTGAAACTGAAAATAGTTGACGCTCACAAAGCTGGAGAAGGCTATAAGAAGATAGCAAAGCGTTTTCAGATGTCAATATCCTCTGTTCGGAATGTAATTAAGAAATGGCAGTCATCAGGAACAGTGGAAGTTAAAGCAAGATCTGGAAGACCAAGAAAAATATCAGACAGAACAGCTCGCAGGATTGTGAGAAAAAACAATTCAAAACCCACGTTTGACTGCACGATCCCTCCAGAAAGATCTGGCAGACACTGGAGTTGTGGTACACTATTCCACTATAAAGAGATACTTGTACAAAATATGGTCTTCATGGAAGAGTCATCAGAAGAAAACCTCTTCTATGTCCTCACCACAAAAATCATCGTTTGAACTTTGCAAATGAACATATAGACAAGCCTGATGCATTTTGGAAACAAGTTCTGTGGACCGATGAGGTTAAAATTGAACTTTTTGGCCGGAATGAGCAAAGGTACGTTTGGAGAAGAAGGGGCACAGAATTGAATGAAAAGAACCTCTGTCCAACTGTTAAGCATGGGGTTGGATCAATCATGCTTTGGGGTTGTGTTGCAGCCAGTGGCACAGGGAACATCTCACGAGTAGAAGGAAAAATGGATTCAATAAAATTTCAGCAAATTTTGGATGGTAACTTGATGCCATCTGCGAAAAAGCTGAAGTTAAAGAGAGGATGGCTTCTACAAATGGAGGATAATGATCCTAAAACACACCTCGAAATCCACGGGGGATTACATCAAGAGGCGTAAACTGAAGGTTTTGCCATGGCCTTCACAATCTCCTGACCTCAACATCATTGAAAATCTATGGATAGACCTTAAAAGAGCCAGTGCGTGACAGACAGCCCAGAAATCTCAAAGAACTGGAAGACTTTTGTAAGGAAGAATGGGCAAAGATACCTCAAACAAGAATTGAAAGACTCTTGGCTGGCTCCAAAAAGCGTTTACAAGCCGTGATACTTGCCAAAGGGGGCAGTACAAGATATTAACTCTGCAGGGGGCCCAAAACTTTTGCAGACGCCATTTTTTTGTTTTCTATTATTTTTGAAAGTGTAAATGATGGAAATAAAATCTAACTTTTGTTGACATATTATAAGAATGTCTAATCTGTAAATTTGATGCCTTTTGGAGATTTTTCCATCTTTCCTTGGCTTCTTTATGCACATTAATACACATTTTTTTAGCTGGGGTGCCCAAACTTTCCATCCCCACTGTATATATATATATATATATATATATATATATATTAAAAATATTGATTCTCTTTTTTGTTTTGTTTGTTTTTAATTTGTGTTCTTTTTGGGGTTTGGTGGGGGGGGTTTTGTGTTTTTGTTTTTGGTGGGTTTTTTTTTTTTTTTTGCTTTTTTTAAGCTGGTATAAATACAATCTAGAATGTCTTCGTCGTACACCCAGGTAATGTTTCCCTCCATCTCTGTGAATGTTTTTTGTTTTGTTTTGTTTTTTTGCTTGTTTTTAATCTGTTCTTTTTGGGGGGGGTTTTTGTGAGTTGGGGAGGTTTGTGTTTTTTTTTTTTTTTTTTTTTTTGGTTTTTTTTTTAGAACCTTTTTATATAAATAAAACTGCGTGTTTCATGCTAAATCGTCTTTTAAGACACTTTTCTTTTGTGTTGGCACTCTTGTTGCTAGGAGCCCCCCCCCCAGCAGCGTAGATGTGTGAGATATCCGAGCACGTAGCGGTGCAGATCGGGGGTGGCTCAGCACCCCCCCACCGTACCAGAAACATCTTTCTGAGAAAGGCAGACAGGAAGCCGCAACCAAAATCTCTCTAACATCTCCATCGAGTTTTTCGTAAGACGCTTAGCAGACTGTTTTTTTTGGTTTTTTTGTTTTTTTTTTTTTTTTGAGTCGACTTGTCTTCCTACACTGCTGCAAAAAGAAAATCAATTCCAGGGGTCACCGTCGTTCTCTGTCTCTCCGGGTATTAAATCTGCCCTCCGGCCTTCCTCTCCCGGACTGAAACTGCTTAAGTGATTGTAAACCCTTCCATATCCCCAGTGCAGTGACCGGCCTCATGTGATACACAGAGAAAAATGAATCCTCCTACACAAGTTGTACCTGTTTATCTGCAAGCCTTCTCTTCTTTACATCTGTTCAAAGTCCAGAATTTATTCAGCTTATCTGAGCTTTCAGAAAGCAGGGGGCGGAGAGCTGAAATTGCGCAACTCAATGAGAGCTTGATTGGTGGGAAGGGACACCCCCCCCCCCCCTCCACACAGCACACAGGAACAGAGCTGAGGCTGTCAATCACAGACTGTGTGCTGGCGCTCCTTCCCCTGTCACCATTTTTCTCTTGGTGTCAGACATGATAGAAGAGGAAGGAGGCAGCAGACAGAAATGGCACCTAGTGCTCTGGACTGAGACAAGTGCACACTACAGAGGGATGTGCTTTGTTCATATTTCATGTACAACCACAGGTACACGCTATTAGAAAATCGAATGGAAACGATCGATTTCTGATCGTTTGATTTTCAGTTCATTCGTTCACTGATTTCAAGAGCCAATATGGAGCGTTCAGACGAAAATTTTTGAAAGGGACAAATTGGAAAAATGAGTTTATCCCAACGTCCAGTTTTCGTTTTAATTGGTCCAGTATTCGTCCTATAAAAATCGAGTCAGCGAGGCCACGCATGACCAGAAACGAAGCACAACCACTGACTAGACACAGACAGTATGTATGAAGGAAGCTGTCCTCTGCCGTTTCTCGAATTTCTGTACCATTTTAGGCATTTCGATTTTTAATATGGGAAGAGGAAAAAATGTGAGCGATCGTTTTGTCCAATTTCCTAGAACTGTGCGAAGCTTGACTCTGATCTCGCTGCCAGGGGTGGACTGACCAATTGGAAACTCAGGCACTGCCCGAGGGCCCGGGGTCAGTAGGGGCCCCATGAGATGCCCCTGGTACCTTTTTCATAGGCTTTTTTGAGTTTGGGCAAGGACACAGGGGCCCCATGATCCCTATTGCCCGGGGGCCCCATGAGTTGTCAGTCCGCCCCTGCTCCTCGCTGCACACTGTGAGCTTCAGCCCAGTACACACGGGACAAAAATCCGCTTCTGTCGACTAGTCATGCTGGAAAACCAATCCAGCCAATGGCTGCATGCGCTGATCGGTGTACTCCGGGGGGGGGCTGTTCCCCACTAATCTGCTTCCAGGTTAAATGACAATAAGGCCGGCCATACACAGGTGGAAATTCGACTGATTTTTTTCCGGACCTAAGAATAATCGGTCGATTTTGCTTTGTTAGTGGTGTCAATGGCACCGGCCGATTTCCGGGGTTCCTCCCTTTTCGGTGATCAGGCGTGTTGAAAAATTCATGAAAAACGACCAATTTTTCGACTCAATGATGGTCAAATTGTTCAATCGTTTTTCTGAAAGAATGTGAGCCGTGACCTGGAAGGAACAGAAGTTTCGTCTGTTATGTGGGGTGAACTTTATGACTCGATTTTTGAAATCCGTGATGGTGCCATCGGATTACCGAGCGAACGACGTTTTCGCTTTTCGGACGAAAAAATAGCTTGGGATTCAACCAGGGGCGGACTGACAACTCATGGGGCCCCCGGGCAATAGGAGATCATGGGGCCCCTGTGTCCTTGCCCAAACTCAAAAAAGCCTATGAAAAAGGTACCAGGGGCATTTCATGGGGCCCCCTACTGATCCCGGGCCCTCGGGCAGTGCCCGAGTTTCCAAATGGTCAGTCCGCCCCTGGATTTAATTTATTTATGGGGTGTATTCATGAAACCTGCGTAGCCGTGTGTCACTCTGAAATGCATGTTCATTTGTTTGGTGCTGATGGGGGGTGTATTCCCTGCAGTTCCAGAGTACTGCATTATGGCCAGTAGATGGAGCCGATGGGGCACACTTATTTCCTATGTTAGTCAGCGCCATCTAGTGGCCATAATGGGGATATGCAACAAAAAAAAGCATCTGCTATGTCCTCTGTGCCTTTTGCTTGTGTTGATGCAGACATCTATCAGGTTTTGTTTTTTTGTTTTTTTTTCAACCTGCTGGTTATGGGACTTTTTTTTTTTTTTTTTTTTTTTTTTTTTCCAACTTTAGCACATTGAATGCATTGCGCTAAGGATTTTGAACAACTATTTGGTTTGCTAAAGCTTTACGTATCACAAACAACCATCATTTTTTTTTTTTCGCTTTTAGAAATGACTTTTTTTTCACCATTTTCATCCTTTCATGTCAGCTCTGCTGATCTCCTGCAGCCTCTTTGCAGCACATCTTTTCTCCAGACTGGCCTCCCAATAATGGCAGGCAGTGGACTGGGCCTGAGCAATGTGTGGTGTAGGCATGGCTTTTGGTCTCTATCGGGGGGGACACGTGCAGGGGCAGACTGACAACTCATGGGGCCCCCAGGCAATAGGGGATCATGGGGCCCCTGTGTCCTTGCCCAAACTCAAAAAAAGCCTATAAAAAAAAGGTACCAGGAGCATCTCATGGGGCCCCCTACTGACCCCGGGCCCTCGGGCAGCTCCCGAGTTTCCAAATGGTCAGTCCACCCCTGCACATGACAGGGTGACAACGCAAGATAGCTGATAGGAAATGGGGAAAGGAGTGTTGTCACCCTGTAACAGGAAGTGTCTTCATGGCAGGAGCACCAGGGAGTATTTTAATGGCTGCTGCAGATTTGAGAAGATTAAAAACAAGTTTTGAATTAATTTTTTTTCCCTTGCTGTATGAGGAGTGTATAGAAGCCCTCCCCCCGTGTGTGTGTATATATATCTCAGTCATTTAAAAAATATTAAAACAACAGTATTTCCATAAAAAAACTAATTTTATTACGATGCATATACAAAATATAATCATTAAATATTTACACAGTAAATAGAGAAATGGTCGGTGCGAATGAAATGTACCTGAGAAATAAAAATTAAGTTAGAAGAGTTTGAAGTACGGCGGTAGAAGTTTGCGGCATTTGGAAACGCCCCATCTACCGTCCAGGGAATTGTAATGGTGGTAGGTGGCCACCCACCTGTCACGTTGTGGCCGACGTCTACAGCACAGGTGTCAGACTGGCAGCCCTCCAGCTGTTGCCAAACTACAAGTCCCATGAGGCATTGCAAGATTGACAGTTACAAGCATGACTCCCCAAAGGCAGAAGCATGATGGGACTTGTAGTTTCACAACAGCTGGAGGGCCGCCAGTTTGACATCCCTGCTCTATATCTATATAAACTACAAGTCCCATCATGCCTCTGACTGTTACAATCATGACTCCCCAAGGCAGAGGCATGATGGGACTTGTAGTTTATATAGCTATAGAGCAGGGATGTCAAACTGGCGGCCCTCCAGCTGTTGCCAAACTACAAGTCCCATGAGGCATTGCAAGATTGACAGTTACAAGCATGACTCCCCAAAGGCAGAAGCATGATGGGACTTGTAGTTTCACAACAGCTGGAGGGCCACCAGTTTTGACACCCCTGCTCTCTATATATAAACTACACGTCCCATCATGCCTCTGACTGTTACAATCATGACTCCCAAAGCCAGAGGCATGATGGGACTTGTAGTTTTCACAACAGCTGGTGGGCTGCCAGTTTGAAACCCATGCTCTATATCTATATAAACTACAAGTCCCATTCATGCCTCTGGCTTTGGGAGTCATGCTTGTAACTGTCAGAGGCATGATGGGACTTGTAGTTTATATAGATATAGAGCAGGGATGTCAAACTACAAGTCCCATCATGCCTCTGGCTTGGGGATTCATGCTTGTAACTTTCAATCTTGGGTCGTGTAGTTTGGCAACAGTTGGAGAGCCATTTTTTGACACCCGTGCTCTATATCTATATAAACTACAAGTCCCATCATGCCCCTGGCTTTGGGAGATTTTATGCTTGTAACTTTCAATCTTGCAATGCCTGATGGGACTTGTAGTTTGGCAACAGCTGGAGGGCCACCAGTTTGACACCCCTGCTCTATATCTATATAAACTACACGTCCCATCATGCCTCTGACTGTTACAATCATGACTCCCAAAGACAGAGGCATGATGGGACTTGTAGTTTCACAACAGCTGGTGGGCTGCCAGTATTTTGAAACCCATGCTCTATTCTATCTATTATAAACTACAAGTCCCATCATGCCTCTGCCTTTGGGAGACATACTTGGAACTTTCAATCTTGCAATGCCTCATGGGACTTGTAGTTTTGCAACAGCTGGAGGGCCGCCAGTTTGATATCCCTGCTCTATATATAAAATACAAAGTCCCATCATGCCTCTGGCTTTGGGAGTCATGCTGTAACTGTCAGAGGCATGATGGGACTTGTAGTTTATATAGATATAAAGCAGGGATGTCAAACTGGCGGCCCTCGAGCTGTTGCCAAACTACAAGTCCCATCATGCCTCTGGCTTGGGGGTTTCATGCTTGTAACTTTCAATCTTGGGTCGTGTAGTTTGGCAACAGTTGGAGAGCCACCAGTTTGACACCCCTGCTCTATATCTATATAAACTACAAGTCCCATCATGCCTCTGCCTTTGGGAGTCATGCTTGTAACTGTCAGATGCATGATGGGACTTGTAGTTTGGCAACAGCTGGAGGGCCGCCAGTTTGAACACCCCTGTGGTCTACTAAGTATCATCCAGTGCTTGTGCGATCGCTGCTCCGTAGTGCTTGGCTGTTTTTTTGGAGGACCCCCCCCCTCCTGTCCACAGCAGATCCTTGGAAGCACCCGACGCTTAGGACTCCAAAAAGTTCTTTACAGTCTTTTTCCGAAGGCCGAATTGCCCCCCCCCCCCCCGCCCCCTCACAGCTCCTTGGGCCGCTGGCTCTGATCCTTGGCATCCTGCGGCAGCCCTTGCGTCGATCGGTTGAGGAGCCCCTGGAGGTCGCAGACGAACTTGTAGACGTAGCGCTGGCCTCCGGTCTTGTGGATGATGTTTTTGTGGTAGTAGTAGCGCAGCCCGCGGCTCAGCTTCTCGTAGTTCATCCTGGGCTTGTTCTTGCGTCTGCCCCAACGCCGTGCCACCTGCGCACGAAGAGGAACGCGTTAACAAGGATAACCAGCCAGCGTTCAAGAAGAATAAAGTTCCAGAAGTAGAAAAAAAAAAGTAAAAACTTAAAAAGATAAGAAATGGGATTTTATTTAAAAAAATATAACAATGAAAAACATCATCATCACTGGAAACGTTAATTTTAAAGAGAATAACATAATATGTACGAAGGAAATCAAGACCCAAATATCCAAAATGATCCAAAATGAAGAGAGCAAGACAAACCCCCCCCCCCCCCAAAAAAAAAAAAATCTACAAATATATTATTAGTAAAAAAAAATTGTTTCTTTATTTTGTAATTTTTTTGCCTTCCTCTGGATTTTTGTAGATTTAGGGCTCTTATTTTTTTTTTTTATTTGTTTATTATATTTTTTTTTATTTTTTTTTTTAATTTATTTTTATTAATCTTTTTTTTTTTTTTTTATTTTTTTTTTATTATTTTTTTTTTTTATTTTTTTTTTTTTTTTTTTTTTTTTTTTTTTTTTTTTTTTTTTTTTTTTTTTATTTTTTTTTTTTTTTTTTCTTTTTTTTTTTTTTATTTTTTTTTTTTTTTTTTTTTTTTTTTTTATTTTTTTTTTTTTTTTTTTTATTTTTTTTTTTTTTTTTTCTTTTTTTTAATTTTTTTTTTTTTGTACATAAAATTTTTTTTTTTTATTTTTTTTTTTTTTTATATTATTTTTTTTTTTTTTTTTTTTTTTTTTTAATTTTTTGTTTATTTTTTTTTTTTTTTTTTTTTTTTTTAATTGGAGGTTTTTTTTTTTTTTTTTTTTTTTTTTTTTTTTTTTTTTTTTTACAATATTTTTTTTTTTTTTTTTTTTTTTTTTTTTTTTTTTTTTTTTTTTTTTTATTTTTTTTTTTTTTATTTTTTTTTTTTAGGTTTTTTTTATTTTTTTTTTTTTTTTTTTTTTTAATTTTTTTATATTTTCTTTTTTGTTTTTTTTTTTTTTTTTTTTTTTTTTTTTTTTTTTTTTTTTTTTTTTTTTTATTTTTTTTTTATTTTTTTTTTTTTTTTTTTTTTTTTTTTTTTTTTATTTGTTTTTTTTTTTTTTATTTTT